ACATTATAGTTTGAAGGGCACCTGTAGTTAGAAAAGGGGGGAGGGCCTAGGACAGAGCTTTGATACCCAGACAAGAGTAGAAGAGGACACTGTGTTGCCCAAAGCTCTGGAACAATCATCTCCTCAAAGGGAGAGAATTCACCTCTGTGTGAATCCAGAGGAAATCTGGAGTGTATGCTCCTCACCCTCCGAAGTCTTGGCTTGGGAACTTGCTAAGACCATGTTGAAATCATGGTGTCTGAAAAACTTGTTGTGTTGGTGTTTATCTAACACAGATCTTTTGATTGCTACATTTTCTGTCCACTTGGCCAAACCAGCAGGTCTTAGGGTTTCATGGGATTCCTGCTTGTGCCGAGTCTCCTAAAATTTAGCATCACTCTTCTCTTCCTCCATTCCTGATTTGAATATTTGGTAACAGACCATTTGGTATGTTTGTGTGCAAGTAGTGTGTATTTTCTGTTGACTTGTTCTTCTGAACTCCTGGATGAATACTAGCAGGTCCTGATGCCTCTTAGAGGAAATTAATTTAAATAAATTGAGTAACATCTTCCATTCATAACACATCATGTCATGAATGATGGTCCGAGACCTCTTTCTTGAATGTTCTTTCACAATGATCATCTTTTGACCCTTCTGTCAGGTTTCCTGATTTTGTTGTGTTTGAAGAGTTTTGACTTCGCTTGTAAAGCTGTTCTGGTGCCTCTTTTGGCCTAATTATGGTTTTACTTTAGCTTAGTCCAGCTTGCTGTCATTTTTCTTTGCTTGAATGAATAATGTCCTGTTTTAGAGCTGGATGATTTATGTTCTTGTTGGTATTTGTTTGTTTGTTTTTTTTGTATTTTTGTTTTTTACTTGTAGTTCCTTTATTTTAAAATATATTGCTAATATTCTCTATGCTTACAGTGAGCCTCTGATTCAGTGTCTTTGAAAAATCTTAATGCCACTTGCAAGCATTTGATTTCTTAGGCTTTACTTCTTCATTTCTATTTAAGACACTTCTTTTCTTTTAGACAGCTTCCTCTTGTGAGTTATATATTGCTCTAGTGTTTTGGAGAGTGTTTCCTTTTTTTGTTGCTGCTGCAAGGAAGCTGCATTTCAGTCCAGTGCAGAACCATTCTATAATATTGATCATAGTCACACTGTGCTGTTCTGGGTCTAAATCACAAATTCTGCTGCCTCTTTTAAGTTTTCCTCAGAAAAGAGTATTTATGGAATCCAAAAATGCAGTCTCTGCATCATCCCTGTCATAACGCTTATTTGGCTTGCAAGGGCATTGTCAAAACTTCTTACTGTTGTATATTTTTGCTTTTGCAGCATATTTCTCTCTCTGTCTTTTAACATTTTAATTGACCTTCTGGATTTGGTGGTCCCCTCTGTCAACATTTATACCTACTTATGGAGTTTTACAGGGCTTCTATGTTCCTGTTGCTGACTCGTAGTTTTCTTTGAGGTGGAGGTCCACTCCTGCACTCTTCCACTGATTATTCATTTACAATTTTTATGCTGATACACCACTGGTTATCTTCCTTCAGGAGACTCTTAGCAGCTAACCTTAGACATGTAATTTTCTATTTCAAGACTTTGGGTACATTTATACCATCTTAACTACTTGCTCTTGGATTTGTTGCCTGTTCTTTTGCTTGAATATTGAATATGATGTTATTGTGACTGGTCCTTGGCAAAATTCAGGTAGGAAATACATTCCTTCTATCCTTTACTAATTTCTAAAGAGTAAGGAATCTGAACAGTGCACTCTGCTGTAGTTGTCGACTTTCCTGGTAGTGTGTTTAAAAATGATCCCAAAGCCTTTTTAAAATAAAGTGCCAGCAGCCTGATCTCCTGGAGAGATCCTCAGAGATCAGGGCAGTGCTAGATGTTTTGGGTGAGAGGATTCTGAGTGATGTATCAAAATTTGAGAACAATCTTACCTATATAGGTACTAGAGACCTATCTGCCTGTATGAAGGTTGGAGATGCAAATGAAATAAGAGAGTCCATTATGATGCATTATGACTGATGGTGTCTGTAAGGAGGGTAGCACAGACTTTTGCAGAACTAGCCTTATTTCTACATTGCTTGCTTTTCCTTGATGTACGAGGTGTGGAGAAGAGAGAGAAGTTATTTTTCCCTTTCTAAGGCATCTTTTAAATTTTCTGGTTAATTGTTTACCATGTTTCTATGGTCTGATGGTAATGTGCGCACTAACCTGCTGAGAACCAGGCAAAAAAATCTCCTTGTGAAAGGTAAAGTATATGCAGTGTAATAGTCATCATGTTGAGAGCTTGTCGTCTTTGCTAAAAATGGTATGAAAAATCCAGTCTGTGAGTGTTGTTCAGGAAATCTTCAGTTTTAGTCAAGTCAAGGGGCCTCATCGACACAGAATTAATAGCATGAGTTGCTCTGAAGTATAAAATGTAGCTCCTATTGCTATGATTTTTTGTCCATTCTGCTGCCTGATTCTTATCAAAGGTATAACAAACTCCTAATGGATAAGAGTTGCTTCTTTTTTGGAGGTCAGGGGAGAAGAGAAAGGACAAAACATCCATTTATGGTAGAAAAGTTGTTCAGGAAAAGCCTTCTGAAAAGGCAACAAGTAGTTCAAGAAACCTGTGTGAGTCCATGACCCATTGGGTAAGTGATGACTGTGGAACCTCCCAGAAAAAGAAATATATTTCTAAACAATTTGCAACACAGACTCTCAATACTTTCTCTGTTACATATATCAGATAAGCCATTTTTCAGGAAGGAGCAGCTGGAGGGAGACTGGGAAAGATTGAATCTCAGGACTGCAGACATTTATGTCAGAGGTCAGAATAAAGTGTGGATCTCTCCTCTCTTGTTGTTTTGCTGCTGTTCAGCAGCTCATGTGGCTAGCATGTAATTGCAGAGAGAAGGAAGCCAACAAGTACCTAGCACAGGAATCCAGCTTAGTTCTTCCAAGAATGAAACAGTTGTAAGGCAAAGAGTCAGTAAGGTAAGTTTTCCAGTAAGGTAAGTTTTGTAAACCATAGTTGGGAGTGGGTGGAGGGCAGGCACATGGAAGACCTGATATATGAGACTCAATAGGACTCTTCCCTCAAATGGAAAGGAGCAATGTTGAGAATCTCTTCCTCAGAGGTTAAATCTTTAGAAATGCCCTGGAGATAGGAGTGAAGCCCAGACTGTCTATGTCCTGGGCTGACCAGGCACATGAGAGGCATAGGCCTGCATTTGGCCACAAGGAGGGCAAAATAAATGTGCTGTGGAGACAAACAGCCTTCTGCCCTCTACCAGTGATCTCTGTGAGCTTCTGTTTAATGCCATTACCTTTTCTACACAAGCTGCAGGCTTGTGTAGGGAAGGGGAGGCATGCAATTTGATGGACATTAGAGCTTGAACAACATGATAGTTGTGCTCACTGTAGTCAGTGGGCAATGCAGAGGAGGAGAGCCAGCCTGACTTGCAATGATGAGAAGTTGGGCAAAGGCCATATCTGAACAAAATTGAGCTCTGGCAAGTTTAGTCCTGTCAGAATCTGTCTGTGGCATGTGGGTGTTAGGAAGGTTTATCCTCCCTAGTGGTCTTTCAAGTTTCTTTCTAAACTCTTTCATCCCTTGACTTGATATCTGGGATGGCACAGCTTGGGTTTGTCTTCAGTCTATCTAACCAAACCTCAAATGTTCTTATTCTTGACAGTGCCTTGAACTGGCGGGGCACATGTGTAATCTCTTGGTGGCTCTTCTCACTAGCTCCCTGTGATGTCTGAGCACCAAGAATAAATTTAGTGTAGATATCTGTTGCTGATCCTGACCCAGGATATTCCAAGTCCCAGTGGAGGGCACTGTTCAACACAAGGAGAAGTTTGGCCAGACATGGTTGAAAGTCACTCGTTTGTAAGCTAAATAGGGTAGCAGATAGCTCTGTTTGAATCCTAAGCATTCTTGCTGTCTCAAGAATACATCATCTGGATGGAGGAGTAGGGATTTTGTGGACAGTTTTCTGGGGCTGGAGGGCACAAGCTGATTTTTAGCCTAACTACCAAATACAGCAACTGAAATATATTTGTTCTGAGATCTGTCTTGACCAGTAAGTCAGTCTTCCAGAATGAGTCTGTCAGCATCCCAGAAACACAGACACATGTCACAGAAAGCATGTAATAAGCACAAGGAGGTATTGCTAGAAGACAGCCTGGGAAAGTTGTCCAAGCTCATGCCTGGGTTACAGGGCTCTTGGGTCTTCTGTGCTGACATGCTTCCATGAGGTTTATGGGCTGCACAGAACTTGTCTTCCTTAGTCCTTGCTTTCTGTACACTTCAGAGCAGTTTATCCAGGGACAGTTGCCGAGCTCCATTACTAAAACAACCTCGACATCTAGGATATGTGCCATCAGCACTTCCCTCACTTTCACACTTGTTGCTTTTCTAGGTTCCCCTGGTGGTCATAGGGTGAGCCTTGTCTTGGGAGGCTACTCATTTGAAAATAGGCTGAGCCAGATTAATACCTCAGTTACATGGAGAGGTCAGGTGCCTTGGCCCTTGCACTTGTGTGGTTGGAACATAAATTGATTCAAGTCATTAACCCAGCAAATACTGTGGTTTGTTTTGATGGTCTTGCTTTCTGCCATTTTCAATGAGTAAAACTGGATTACCACGTGAACAGGCCAGCTCAAGAGGAGGGGCAAGGTAAGGAATGGGATGCGTGTGTGAACAAGAACATATATTTGTGGGGGAGGTCAGGGCAGGCAAGACCACCACTTTGATGGAGCCAGGTATTCATTCTGCTCAATTCTGTTGTAAAACTTCGCCTTGAATATCCTGACAGTTGTAAATGCAGCGGGGAAACCTCTCTTATGGCCCAGTTGCAATGAGTATCTGACTTTATCTCTTAATTTTTGGGTGGTAAAGAAGATTTTCATCTTGGTTGTGAAATTGGATTAGGCTCAGTTGAGTCTGTACTGAGCAGTAGGGTGGTGGCACTGTTCTGGTTTCATGTCATGCCTCTGTTTATCCCCTCTCTCCTCAGCTTGGCATTGCTGCAGGCTTTCTGATCCCTCCAGTTCTGATTCCTAATGTGGATGATGTGGAGAAGCTGGCCCACCACATCAGCATCATGTTCTTCATGACTGCAGGTGTGGCATCAGCCCTGTTCATCCTGGTCATCATAGGTAAGGAGGTGGGAGTGTGCACATGAAACCAGATGGGACTGAGATCAGCTAATGTGTGATGGGGGCCTGTGTGCCAGGAAATGGGCTGGGCAGGCCATCTGGGGATGTGTCCTACCATGCAGCTGACAGGGTCATGCAATATTATATCTTGCTGCTTCAAACCCTTGATGAACAGCACATGTAGAAGGGAGGTTGTCAGCAAGTCTGCCAAATTGTTAGTTTTGTCTACTGCTTGCCTAATAAATTCCAGGTATAAGTAAGTCCTTTAAAAACCAACAGAAATCTTGCAAGTTTCATAGTCATCTTCCCTGCAAACAGAGTGCTGGGCCTTGGGTTATATCTGGGACCTGACTACCCCTTAAGAGTAGAAAGAGGCAGATTATACGGCATCACAGGAACAAATTGTTCCCAGTTATGAGTGGAGAGAATAAAGCATGAAGGACAATAGCAGGACACAAGAGGTGCAATTCCCTTGCTCCCAAAAGCCAGATCTTTAGCATGAAAGACTGGCACGTTCACTGCAGAGCTGAGTTTAGTTGCTGAGTTCCATCCAATTTTTTTGATAGGCTCTTTTTGCCAGTTTGTTCGTGTTGCTGGTGGCTGAATCAGATGTAGACTTCAAATAATGTGGGGCCGGGAATAGACAAGGTGCAAAAATCCCTGTCTAGCACCTGGCACAGCAGTATTGCTTGTGACTGGGATTTCTGGATGCTATTTTAATGCTAGTAAGGGACAGCAGATGGCTTGGCCTGAAATAAAACCTGGCAAAGGTTATTGTTCCTGGGCACTGGCCACTGCAGAGCACTAGGCCACCTTTGTCAATGGACTTGTCCAGTTTAGCTTTGTCATTTGTAAATCCACATAACACTTTTGCACCTGGCTGGTCATCCTTCTAGAGACAAAGACATTAAGAGTCCTGAGAACTCCTTTGGTGCTGCTGGACACTGCCTACACAAAAAACTAATTGAAGGCAAGATGTTTCCCTTGGGAAGGTGTCAGGAGTTATTGTTGGAAGAGAGCTGTTCTTTCCTGTTCCTGGATAAGTTCATGCATGGAGATCAAAGCTTAAGGAAAATGGTGTGTTTTGTATACTTGGTTCTACCAGCCCCCCTGACATCCCTTAAGTGGCGGTGTGCTCAGGCCCCTCAACTGCACCATTACATACAGATGTACTTTGTCTCTGCTTTCAGTCTTCAAGGAGAAGCCCCCAAACCCTCCAAGCCAAGCTCAGGCCTCGATCCAATCAAGACCGACTGCAGAGTATTCCTACGTGCAATCAATCCTCCGCCTGCTCCGCAATGCCAACTTTTTGCTGCTTATGGTCACTTATGGTAAAGTTTGGCCTTTCTTCTTGTGCAGTTATCATGACTTCTCCCTCCCTCTCTGTGCTTTGTTGAGGCAATAACTGACTTGAGTTGTTTTAGGGGAACATAAAGATAGCTCCCCTGTGCTGCCACAGACCAGGAATCCTTATAGCCCTGTACTCTTCAGCAGTGGTTAGCAGCAAATGCAACGGGAAAGAATGAAAGGAAGGCAAGCACACAGAGGGTGATACGCCCCAACAACTGTTCACCCAGTCTTTGACTGCTGTTCAGGGGATTTCCTTATCTGTTCTTTTTTTCTAGTCATTTAGTTAATTGCATCACGATCTAAGTGCTTACATAAGAAATACATGGAAGTGTCTGAGTGCAAGTCACAGAAATGAGTGAAAGTCATTTCCGAAGGCAAGGATATGAATATGACTGCCAGGCATCTCTGTAGAGGTCATGTGGAGTATGCAGATGTGCAGACTTTGTCAGCTTCTTAGGCAGTCCCTGTGAAGCAATTGGAAGGAAGGACTGGAGAACATCTTACGCCATCTGTCCTTGCATGCTGAATTTGCTGCTTGCTTCTCATCAGCAGTCTCAGTCTGTTTGAGGACAGTGTGATGTGTTGAATCTATTCCCTGATGCTGAATTGGCATATAGGAAAGTGTTTTTCTTACTAGCTGAAAGGCCATTGTGGTCTGTTCCTGGCTGCATAATAGGGTATACTGTAGCCAGCTAGTCTGTGGGTAGTTTTGTCTTCATTCTTCCTACCAGCTTGCTATGGAAGCTTCTTAGAGGGATAGTTAAATATTGCTGAAAGTTCTGCACATTTTGCCAGTAGTTGTATCTGAAAGACCTTGTGGGATTAGGCAGGTTGGACAGAGTCAGATGGTGGCTTTGTACTTGCTGAGGATGCTGATGGTCTTTGGAATTGTTGGAATCTCTGCTCCCTTCCTTCTCAGTGCAGTAGACTTCTAGAAATGCCCCTCTCAGATTGCTCTTAAACTCTCTAAATGTTTGCATTGCAGCTGCTGGGTTTGGCTGGTTTTTTTTTTTTTTTCTTTTTTCATATTACATAATGCCCTCTCAGAAAGTGAAGACACAAAAGCCTGTCAGGCAACTGTTTAAAGTTGGATTGTATCATCTGCTCAGTTCACACCCCTCAGGAAAAGGGATGAGGAAAGCATTTGCTTTAATAGGCACAAACAAGTCCTAGAGGAGAGAGGAGGGCTCTCAGTTCAAAGAGCATGTTTAGAATCTGACCTTCCTGCGATAATTCTTCTCTGGCAGTCACAGTGTGCAAAATCTGTTCAGTGGCTCATAATTAATTTTCTCTTGCTACTGGTCTGTGCATTTATTCTGTTCCTGTCTGTGTCAGCCTCATGCCAATCTCCAGTTTGACTTGAGATGGTGACTGTTACTCAGAGAGGGAACTGTGCTGTGAAACTTTTTTTTTTTTTTAGCGTGTCTGGGTTTAAAATGGTGACAGTTTTTCCTACTCAAGTCAAAAGTTATACTGGCCAAGATTTAAGACATCTGCATCCACATGAGTACAATTGAGTCATCCTGTCTACCTAACACAAAGATATCTGCAGCCTGTTGGCTTTTGTGTTAGCATAGCATGTGTCAGGGGAGAGAGGGGCAAACCTGCTGCTTGTTCATCTCTCCTGGATGTAGAAAGAATGGGGATCCTTCCACAGTACAGGTCAGAACAGGTCTGCAGACTTCTTGGTATTATCAGAAGATTCCTTTCTTGTGGCAGGACTCAGAGTGCTGGAAACAGTGGTGTCACTGCTGCTATGTCAGTGCTAGTGAACTGCTTTCCAGGAAAGCTCTCAGACAACCTGTCCCCCAAGGCTGCTGACATTGCTTCCATAAAACTGAGGCATAACATGGAATGGACATTAAGGAATTCCAGGTCTATAGGGGAGGGCTTTGCATTGGAAGGCACATTGCTAGTGGGAGGCAGTAGGCAGGAAAAGGATGTGAGATTCTGGGAAAAGCTGGTAGAATGGGAGTCATGAGACAGTCTTAAAGAATCAGCATTTGGAATGGTGATGGGGCAGTGAGGAGGAGGCAGGGCAGTAAGAACTGCATAAAGAACCATTGTTGGGGAGGATTACAAGGGTGAACAAGAGAGAAACCAAGGATCTGGCATGTAGGTAATAGGCTGCCTACCTGTGGGAGACCTGGGTTCTAGTCTGAGGCTTAATAAGGGCTCCTTTTGGAGCTCTAGGTAATAAACTTCCCTGTTCTGGCCTCTATAACATAGAGGAGACACTGAGATATCAAAAACGTTAGTCTACATTACAAGCAAACCATAGTAACTAGCTAAAGAATTGTGTGGTGCTGGACTTTGAGATGTCCTGCTTCCAGCTACTAGTTCTGGTTTCCCTCATATGGGTGGGCAAATGGCCACTTTCCTGTTGGAAACAGCCGTTAACTGCTTTATGGACATTCAAACAGCTGTAATTCTCAGAGAAGCTTCACTGAGCAACTGTGACATATGAAGTGCCTACAGCTTTTCTCAGCCCTCACATGTGCAAATTTGACACATTGTCTTGATTCTTAGAATGTTTTGCCTGACTCTGGTGCCAAGTGTTGCTGCCAATTCTTTCTGCCCAGCCTGGGAACAGGGGCCTTTCTCTGTCTTGGGAATCACATGGATCATAGAGCTGCTGTAAAGCTGGTTTACTGGCAGTATTAGGTACCAGAGCAGCATCTGACTGTCTTCACAAGGCTACTGTCCTCTTGGCTGGGTGAGAAATAGAGGTGCACAAATGAGTAGTTAATGTTTATGCCCAGCTTTGAAGTGAAGAAGCAGGACTGTGCTGATCTGCCATACTCCCATGTCCTTGCACTGCAGCTTGTGGTGTCACCTAGTGAGTGTGGTGCTCCAGAGGTGACGATAAGATGAAGCTGATTTAGGGTGTGTTAGCTGCTTTGCCTTAGGCAAGTGCTGCAAAGAGACAGCTTTCAAGGCTGAAGGGCGCCTCCTTGCTGTGAGATCTCCAGTTGTTTCCCCCATCCTTGGCTGCTGGCCCTGCAGGAGTTTCCAGCCTTCCTGAGTAACTCTTGGTAAGGATTGAATAGATTCTCTCCTGCCTAATGAGCATGTCACTCAACTTACTAGCCTCTCCTCTAACCTTCTGACACGTGATTTCGAAGCGGGAAGCATTGACACAGGCAGTATTTGGAATCACTTGCATAAGAGTCTTCATCTGTGGAGTGAGCTGTGGAGTGAGCTTTGCTTAATCACAGAATTGTTTGGGTTAGAAGGGCTCTTAAAGGTCATGTAGTTCTAACCCCCATGCCATGTGCAGGGACACTTTCCCCTAGTCCTAGTCACTCAGAGCCCGGTCCGGGCTGCCTTAAACACTTCCATCTACACCTTTGGGCAACCTGTTCAAGTGTTCCACCACCCTCACAGTAATGTTGCCAGAGATGGTGTGTGAAGGAAGTGTGATGCACCTTCCAGCTGCCAATCTTGTGGCTCCTCACAGTGCTGTGTACTAGAACAGCTATCCAGTGTTCAGTGGAAGACTGGGTTGGGTGCAGGATTGCTGAGTACTTTAGGGGAGCTAGGGGACTTCAGGCTTAGGAGAGCTCAGGGCTTTGTTCCCTCTGTCAAAGCTCTGCCTGCTAGACTGCACTTCTGTATCCTGTGTTAGTTTCTGCTTTTAGCTGAGGCTTAGAGAGGAAAAGTAGGAAGGGGGAATTTGACATGTATCTGTTTTGTCAGGATTTCAGGCATCTGTGCCAGACTTTTTAAACCCGTGGCTCCTTTTGGAGCCTGTAGACGTGTGAGCTGCAGTGGTGAAATCTGTCCCTTTCCCTCCACCCATCAGAATCACTGAAGCCTTGAAGAGAAACCAACTGCAAATGTAAATGACTTTCTGAGAAGAAAGTTATGGTGACTGTTACAGACCTCATCCACCTGGGGCAGGTTTTTCAGTATCACCCATGGTGAGAGTGTAGCCGTTGCAGTACTGCTGGTCCAGTGCACATGTGTATGTACTTGCCTGCTGAACAAACCTGTCATTTGAGAAGGCATTTAACCAATGAGAACTGTATGTAAGATGGAGCAGAGTATCTGAATAGGGCTTGACCAGTATCACCCCAAAAGTTTCATTCTCACCTTGGCTGATACTGAGAAACCTTCACCAAGTGGTTGATCCTTGTGACAGTTAATGTAAGTTCTCTTTCAGAAATGCAGTTACTTTCACAGGCTTTTTCAGGCCTCAGTTATATCTTTTAAAATGCAAGACTTTTCCTATACAGACACACAGCCCAGGTGCCTGAGGCTAGTGCTGTCTGTCCTTCATCCGTAAGCTTCTACCTGTCTTCTGGCATTTCTTGGCTTGGAGAGAATGTCATTTACTGGTTGCTGGTAGGAAGAATGCTGACAGGCTCTTCTCTGGGAGTAAAACACACAGGTCAAAGACACTGTTGTTAATTGAATCTCAGGTCCTTGTGCAGGGTGTGATGCTGAGGCAGATGCTTTTCTAGTATCCTGACTTGGCTGAGAGCAGAGGAGAAAATTGCAGTGCTAAAGATGGATCTGGCTGTGAGAGAGGGTTGAGACCCTGTTAAGGAGTTGCGAGACCTTTCACTACCAGAAATGTGCACAGCCCTTCCTCTAGCTGCTTAGATAAGAACCATCCTGAAACTGCAGTGTTCTTCCTCCTGCATGCTGAGGCCTGGATGTTGGTCTGCACTTCTTCCAGTAACCTATGTTTATCCAGTCTGGCTCACTCTCCTGAGACTCTGCAGCCTTGTTCTGGGCTGATGGTCCCAAAGATTTCTCTCTCTGCATTTCTACCCTTTCACAACCCAACAGGAAAGTAGCAGACTCTGAATGTACTACATTTTTGTCCCCTTCTCAGGTCTGAATGTAGGTTGTTTCTACGCCTTGTCCACTTTGCTGAACCGCATGGTGATCCATCACTACCCAGTAAGTGCCCTCTCTGATGCTTGCTGCTCTCCGGCACTGGCTGCCAAAGGAGAATCTGTGAGAAAGGCAATGTCACAGCAGTCCTGGCTGGCTCTAGCACAAGTTGGCCGTTCCTTTTTTTGTTTGCACCACCCCATGCAGAAGCTGGTGAGCTCTAGAAAAGACAGCTCCTTTGCACCTTAAATGAAAGCATTTACTTCTGAGAAAATCTTCCAGCAATTTCCTCTTCTTGTTTCTGACTGTAATTTCTACTGGGACATCAGTCCTAGGAGGCTGCCTGTGCTCATGCTCTGGTGGCAGAAGGGTGGGGTTCCTCAGTACCTGAGCTATTGTACAGCTTACTGCTGGTGCTGCATGCCACAGAGCTCCTTTCTGTGCTGCCTTATAGTGAGTCCCAATATTTCCTAGTCAATCTGGCCCAAATCCTAACAGCAAGGTTCATAGAGTTTACACTATTCTCTGAGAGTATCTGCTCACACTGGCCAGTGCACACCTTTTTCTCAGGGCTGGATCAGACGCAATTGCCAGACCACTTTTTTTTATGGACCAGAAAGCACTGGCTCATAGTGGGCCCAAAAGTGTTCCTGCAAAGGCTAGTTCTGCTTAATGTGTTACCAGCAACAAATATGTATGAAAACTAACTTTGGTGTCTATTCCTCTCTGGGTTTTCTGCGCTTTGCTTTTTGTTGGATATGACTTAGCTCCTGCATTTTTGTGAGTGTATATATGTCTCACCACAGGGGGAGGAGGTGAATGCCGGCAGGATTGGACTCACCATTATACTGTCTGGGATGGCTGGGGCTCTGATCTCCGGCATCTGGTTGGACAAAACCAAAACCTACAAGTAAGTGCCTTGTTTGCCTCTGTGCCCTGGCAACTGTGTTCTTCCTCCATACTGTGCAAAGTTGCAAGTTGGCAGTCTAGAGACTGAATCATTGGGAGGATTTGTAGGGAAAAAAATTGGGTTCTTCAGAACCCAATTAGTCTAAAGTGAAGTTTGGAGGTGTGCATTAGCTGGCACTAGGCACATACAAGATCTGGTGTCGGTGGTCCCTAAGGGAGGCTTACAGAAAAGATGAGATGGCCCAGTAACTGCTTTGTCAGGGATGAGAGAGTTCTTGGCATAAGCAGAATCAAGACTGTACCAGACCATTTCTCAGCCCTTACAAACCAGCCTCTGTGAATTTTTGTCCAGCTTAATGAAAGGCACATTGAATCCAGTGCCCCGAGGCATTGTGTTGATGGTGTGTTGTTGTGTTTAGGGCAGGCATAAGGGTTATTGGGGTTACGGATGGATGATTGTGTGTTTGTTGCCTGGTGAGTTGGGAAGGCAGATCTGGCCAAACATCTTGCCATCTGTAAAGCGACAGTTAAGAGTCTTTGCTTGTCCTACAGTTCCCAGTCTTCAGGAATTTGGATCTCACTGAAACATCTCTGTAGGCTATCTCAGAGGATACAAAGAGACTCTTCTGTCTTATACTGGGGTTGAACCATCTTTTTGGCTTCTTTGGTGGCTTTGAGACCTGTGCTATAACCTGTTGTCTGAGCAGGTTGGGTGAGAGGGGGCTTTACTGGTAATGTGCTGGTAATGACTTGAGAGCAATTTTAGAGTTTTATTTTTTGCAGAAGCTTTTCATCTGTGGGAGTCCTACTGCCATTAACCTACCTCATATCTTTGGCCAGATACGCACATTCTCATTGTAGACAGATTAATCTGGCTAGCTGTGAGCTTGCAACTTCTGAAGTGGCCTCTGGCTGTAGCTCCCTGTAAAGTACAGGGATCAGAAACAGAAAATTGGCTTCTCTAATAAGAAAGAATGGTAGGTGAGGACTCCTGGGACTGGCAGGTTGCTTGTTGCTGTGTCTAGATGGTTGTGTGGCACTGAGTAGTTCTCATATGGGCGTCCAGGGAAATAGAAATACAACCATTAGAACTGCACTGCTAGCCATGCAACGTGACTTGTGTGTCTTTCCAGCCCAGGGCTAGTGGTAAGGTAGCCTCAACTGGCACCGCTAAACTGTATGATCTTCCTGGTTTTCTGTAAGTGAGGTTAGGTTGCAGCATGGAGGCTTGAAGAGCTTTGTGACTCACCGTGCAGAGCTGGGACTTGAAATGTGGTAGAATGGGAAAGAGATGAATGTAAGAATCCTGTATTTGTTCCATGTACCCTCCTTCCTTGGAGGATCACATAGGTAAGCAGAGCTGGCTAACAGTGCAGAAAAATAGGACTATGTCATCCATGAAGTTTATCCTACAAACCCAAGGGGCTATTGGGAGGTAGTTTCAGTCTTAGATGAGGAAAAATGCTGCTGAGAATTTGTTCTCCATTACAGCCTACAAAATGGATTTCTGTGAAACTAGCACATTTTTTTTCCTGAGTGCTACATAGTCTTTATTTAGCCCCATTTAAAAGTCTATTTAAAAAAACTGTCAAGATGCCAGATGTTCTAGGTGGGTACCCTCCCCCTTCCCTCTGTTGCTGAGATAGTGTCAAGAATAAAATGGTAAGCACATGAAAATCAGGAAGGAAAGATATCAAATCCTTTTTTTAGTCAGCTTGGAGAGAGAGGGAAGCAAATGAATGGGATCCAGCTGTGATTGAGGGGAGCAGGGGAAGATTAATAACAGAAGGAATTGCAGAGCTCTACATGCATGTTTGATCTTTACTGTATCATCAGCAGTTCCTTGAAAGGGTGAGGCTGTGCTAAGTCAGCCCCATCTGTCATGCTTGGGCACCAAATGGCCTTGCACTCTTGCTTTTATTTGGCGGGCAAGTCCCTGCAGCAGCCCCTGCACTGTTCTTGTTTTTGGAATAGCAGGTGCAAATTTGGTCCATTCAAATAAATACATGAATTATGTAGTCAGAAGAGAGCGGTGAAAGAACTGGGGTTGTCTTTGGTGGTATGGCTTGTTGAGAACAGCCCATCTCTTTGAATCATAGAATCAGGAGAAGACCCTTAAAGTTTTGACATCAAGCTCCTGGCGCAGAGGACGAATGAGGTTGTGACAACTGGAGACTGCTGGATGTATTGGTATTTGTAGGGTAGTCTGGCTCAGAATGAGGTGCTTGAATTAATTAATTAAGGACTGAATTAATCATCACTTCTCTTTGGCTATGCTTTTCTTCCAAGTGCAGTCTTCACATGGCCTCAGGTCAAGCTGGTTGCAGTCAGCACTCTCCACTTTCATTGCTGCATTTCTAAAAGGCAAGATGTCAGAAATATCCATCTCTCCATTGACTAGGCAGAAGACCCCAAGTGGTGTTTTAGGTCTGTACAGATGCAAAGTACAAAAATTTGGGGGAAGGAGAAAAGATAGTGGAGGATGGAACACTTGGGTCTTTTCCACTGAAAGGGGAGTGCTCTCTCAGCCTAGCCTGACCTGCAATTTGGGCCTTCTTATTGTAGCCCTTTTTATGCAAGGTTAGTCCTTGTGTAGTGGATATGTCTTCACCCTGTCCTGCCATATATCTTATACAAATAATTAACCAGTCCTTTCTTCTGAACTTCATACAGGAAGAAAGTAGCATAAAACTGAATGCCAAAGGATAAGGGCATGGTGAAAACCAAATCAGTCTTCTCCAATTTATCCCTTTCTCCAGCATCTGACACCTCCATGTCTTCAGCAATGAGATCTTCTGGGAGCATGGGAACAAGGCCTTTGGTCAGGCTTTTGTGCAACCTGGAATGTGCTGTCTTCATGGCAAAGCCTGTGGAAGCCATCTGTCATCCCTGTCTGTACAGCAGAGCATGCTGGAGCTGCACACAACATCCCTGTGAGCAGCTAAAACTGTTGTATATGGCTGTACCCCTCATGCCACCTCCTCCTCCCAGCTTGTTCATTTGTTGCCTCAGATGTTGCTTGACTCTAGTGTTTTTGCAGCTGCAATCCCCTCTGAGTCTTGTCTTGTCACTTTTGCTTTCCTCATCCAAGTGACCTTGTGAGACAAGGCTGGGCTGGGCCATATCCATTCCTTACTCTGAGGCTTCTTCTAGAGCTGACCGAACAGCAGGAGATGTGTTCTTCATTCCAGCCCTGTTCCCTGCTGTTGCTGGCCCTATCTGGCTTTTTTCCCCCAAGGTCTCTTTTTTCTCACAGTCCCTTGTGCGAGCTCTTTAATCTGCCTCTTCAGAAGGTTTGGGAATGTGACTGGGAGGGCAGATGAATGTCAGGGCTGGTTAGGTTCATCTAAGTGACAAGTGTGTCGGGTCCTTCACAGACCTCCCTCTGGCTCTGCCACAGAGACTTGGCACTGGTGCCTTTGTAGCAATGTTTCTACATGGGTGCAGTGGGCTTCCTTTCCACACCCCAGAGCACTGAGGGTTAACCTCAGTTTTTCTAAGGTAGTGTGGCAGGATGCCTAACTTCCAGCCTGTACTCACTGCACTAATCAGCCTGTTAAGTAGACAGTCTCTGTTCCCTGTACCAGACAATGAAAATTGTCAGTCCCTGTAGAGCTGTCATGGGAGTAGGTTGCTAGAAACGCCAGAATGCAGTGTTCATGTGCTCTGTGAATCTGCTTCTCCTCCTTTGTGCTTTTCTCGCTCCCATGAGATTTATGGCTATGGTAAGAGGCTTATTAAGCTAAAACTGGGCATGTTTCCATGCCCCAGTGCCCCTGGGGCCACAGAACATTCTTGTCCTCTGGTGAACAGGGTGTCAAAGACCACTTCCTGAGAGCACCCTGCCTCTGTGTCTTTCCCCAGGAGTTTTTGTTTCCCTGTGCACCAGTGTCTACCAGTATCTCAGTTAAACCCTCTTCAAAATTTTGCGTCCTTCTTGGACTGCTGAGCACTAAATCTCCTTTTTCTTGTCATCAGTGGTATGAGTGTCTCTGCTGGCAGTGACTAAACTTCCAAGGGCTTCAGCCACCTCTTGGAGGCCTAGACAGTATTTTAGCACTGACTGCTATGTAGTTTGGAGTCTTCTGTTTGTGGAAGTTGCTCACAGTTCAAACTTGGTTCATGTAGCCCAAGTACAGAACTGTAATTCCAGCTTTGACCTCCTTTCCTAATCATCTCTTTCCTCCACGGCTCCTTGTCAAGGCATAGGAGACATAACAACTCATGGGACCTGAGGAACCTGTATTGAGCAGAAAAAGGCTTTTACTTGCATCTCTTTAACTCTCTGGGGCTGCTCTCTGTCTCTTCAGTCAGTCTTTCAGCTCTTCTCCTTCTGCAGCTTCCAGGCTCTGTGCAGCTTTCTGCAACAGATTATAACAGAAGTAAGCAGTCCCTTTATGCTGCCTTCACAGATGAATTTTTCCCTCAGTGAAAACTTTGGGAAGAACATACTCTAGGAATGGTACAGCACTGGAAGTTAAGGCATTTAACTACTCCTTTGATACACAACAAAATTACTTGCCACATCATGTTGTTTAGCCTTTCAATACATTAAATGAGCCTTGTAAGTATGGATCAATAGCTGAAGCCTGAAATTAGCTTCTCAGGCTTATATTTGTATAATAATTGACATATGGGCATGAGCCCCACTGACTGCAGTCATTGCAGCAGTGAGGGAGGACAGAACCTCAGCTGGAACAGTCTGGATTTATTTGTAGTAATTCAGTGCGCTGGAGACATTTTCTTACACATTGTAGTACTTAGTGCTTACTTGGGTTGATTTTTGACAGTGATCATTTGCATTAAAAATTAAAAGTGGAAATAGTTTGAGATCTAGTTTCTTCAGTAGAATTCCAGAACTGATATCAAATACATTCTTTAGTGGATTAAGACTTAAATTAGGGAGAAAGTACACAAGCAGCCTGTGGTAATACATGTAACTTCTTCCTAAAAGACAGTGATCAAAAGGTTTTATCAACTCTGGTTACTGTTCTGCTTTCAAAATCCAAAATCCTGGTGGAATTTCAGCCAGGTAAGGTATTTACCATTCCCTCCTTTCCTTTGAGGAGCCTTTGCCTCCTCAAAACTATGTATTGTAAGACCTACTGCTGCCTCTTGTACTAGAAAGAGCTTTTTTTTTTAATGTGGGAAGGGTTTTCTTGGTGTATAGTCAAGGATGACAATTGCTAGATGTTGTGGTGAAACTGGCCTGGGCTGCTGCCTGTGTCTCACCACACTGAGTTCACTGATGATCCTTGCATAGCCTAGCTGCAGGTTTGGCTGTTCCCAGGATCTGACTAGCATACTTCCTGAGACTCTTTGTCTCTCCTGCACACAGAGACAAGAGCTTGTGGCTTAGCTGCTGTTGGCTGTGGAACTAGCACTGTCCCTGCTAAATGCTCACATGGCTTCAGGGTGAGGCTGAGGGCAACCTGGCTTGCATGTCACCTCTCCTAATATAGCAGGTAGTTTAAACAACAGAAAGGAGCAGCAATGAAATTGACGAAAACAGCACTGAAAAATATAGGCCCATAAGACTCTAGCAGTGTTGACACCTCTTTCCTTTTTATGTTCCTTCTTGAGAGTGCTTGATCTCCTTGGCTCCTACTTACAAGTAAGCATATTCAACTCACTATATGGATGCTTCAGAAAGATTAATGATCTCTTAAATTGGCAATTGTTCTCCCCCTTAAGTGACATGTACTGTGTATCACCAGGCACCTGTCAAGCTGTGGTAGGATCTTTCTTCTGCTGTGCTGCTCTGTGTGCAGGCCCTTCCATGCTCTCTGTCAGCCCAGTTCCTTTGTCTGGGTATGAGTGTCAAGAGACTGTGTAACTTTTATTTAGGTTTTTTTTACCCATGTGCTACAAGCTATATTAAGATCTGTATGCAGAAAGGAGGACTGGATTAGATAAAACCCTGATTGCTTTTTCTTGCAGGCAAACAACGCTAGCTGTCTATCTCATGTCTCTGGTGGGAATGATAGTCTATACCTTCACTCTGAGCCTGGGCCACCTCTGGGTGGTCTTTGTGACTGCTGGATTGCTGGGGTAAGTTAATGTGCAGGCTGCTTTCCTCAGCATGTGAACTGCTAGAGGATGAGCAGGGAGGCAGAACTCCTGCTGTGGGAGGGACTGGGGAGAACCATAGCATCTGAATGGCTCCTGCGTGTTTAAGGGCAAAATTATCTGCCCTTCCCATCTCTCAATTGTATGTGTTTCATTAGAATCAGGACATTATTGTGACCCTGCTCAGCTGCAACCACCTTAATTGTTCTGGGTAATCAAGTGGAAACTTTTGGAAAGCAAGTGGTACCCACAGCCCTACAGATGATCGGTGGACAAGGGTGAAGAGCATGTGGGCTGGAATGGCTCTTTGACTGTGCCTGGGGGTCATGCCCCTTAGAGTTACGGTCTATACTGTACCTCTTCAGTCTTCCTTCTGGCAGTTGCTGAGTCTTCTGTACTTCATTACAGGTTTTTCATGACAGGATACCTTCCCCTGGGCTTTGAGTTTGCTGCAGAGTTGACATACCCAGAATCAGAAGGAACATCATCAGGGCTCCTCAATGTCTCAGCACAGGTAGGGATGCTGTTTTCCCTTTGCTTGCCTCTTTTTAGGCAAAGAGATTAAAATGTAGTTCCAAGCCTTGAGTCCTATTTCTTGTCCATTATTGGTGTAATGTACTGCAGACCTAAGCACTCTGGGACCTGACTTTTTGAATCATGTTCCTCATGGCATCTCTATAGTGGCACTTACTCTGTTTCTGTTTAAGAAAATACTTCTTGGTGCCAGTCATCCTTGCCTTTTCCAACATAGCTCTTAACAGTCCTGGCTCATCTCCAGTGAGAGATGAGATTCCAGCTGTTGGGGTCATCTGGCATTCCATTAGCTGCAAGGAGGTATCTCTGGATGTGTTTATAACCAAACTTTACCCTCACTAGGCCAACTGTTTGACTGGCTTGTATGCTCTGATACGTTGGTAAAGATTGGAAAGAATTTGGGCTGCTTTATAATTACAGTACAGCTTGACATTTCCTTTGCTTGTTTGTAGATTTTTGGTATTGCCTTCACCATTGGCCAAGGGCAAATCATGGATCACTTTGGGACAATGGCAGGAAACCTCTTGCTTTGTTCTGTCCTGTTCCTGGGGACCGTTATGACAGGTAATTAAAATTTTCGATGTTCTTCTGGTCTGACTTTGCCTTGGGCTTGGCATATTAATTCAAAGCTTTTGTGTGCAGTGCCTGCAGGAAAGGGCAGAACCCACACAGCAGTCCCATAGCAATGCTGTTCCTCTTTAAACATCTGGTCTGCTTTACAAACAAGAGGCAAGGCTTTTTATCCTGGCTCTGGCTGGGGTCTCAAAGTTGTACCTTCTACATGCTGCAATAGAGAATCTCTATCCTGCCTGTTTCAGAAGTGTTCTCAGCCTTGTCCAGGAGAGTGGTTTCTCTTGCTCATTGTAATATGTTTCTGTCTCTTCTGGGGCTTCTGCTGCACAATTAAGTGCTGGGGAAATTGGCTTGGGCACTGCATGGTGACTTGACTGCCTTCACATCTCTCTTCCTCCCTCTGTTCCAGTTTTCATTAGGGCTGATCTCCGAAGACAACAGGCTAATTTGGAACATGAACAGACAGTGAGTAAACCCCCCTTCAGTCTCTGCCATGCTCAACACCCAACCTCTCTCCTTTCCAGGAAAGGCGGTGGCTTGTGGGGAAGCTTGTTGTTGGCATTTTCAAACTGGATGTAATCTTGGCTCTGCCAGCTGCTGGGGTCTCTGTTTGCTCAGTATTATTGTCATGTAGAATCTGTAGGCTCTGGTCCTCTGGGGTTCTGCAGGGCTTCACACATCTTCATACCAGCTAGGGCCAGATGTAGGGCAGTGCTTGCTGTGCTTGCTTCTCTCCCTTGACATTGTGTTGAGGCCTTCATTGCTTTGCTCTTTTTCAGAGCTGAGTAACTATTATTCTAGGCCTCTAGGATGGCAGGTTATTCCTCTTACTCTTTGCCATCAGCTGCCAAGTGGGTTTCAGTGTATGTTACTGGAGGAAACTAAGGTGACAAAGCCTAAGTGAGGGCTTGAGCAACCTGGCACTCACACTTTGCATAATGCTGCCAACAAGGCTGTTAATTCATACTTGCACACCAAAGCTTGGTGTGTGATGTCCCTGTGGAATACTGTGCAATAAATGCAGCTGTTTGCACATGGGAGAAGGCCTGTGTGAACCAATTGCAGTGGATACTGTCAGAAGCTTTCCCTGCAGGGAAAGGGAGGGGAGTGGTTGCTTGAGGCTATTTTCCATATTGCTCTAGGCTCCTCTTCTAGGATGTTAGCAGAGAGATCCACTCACTGTCAGGCACCCATCAGCAACCATGAGTAGAAAAGTGTGAAAATCTCAGTTCTCTGCTGTCTTGAGTCAGCTCTATTCAGAAGACAGTGCTGCCCTCCTCCAGTGCTGGTGGTACTGTGAATTAAATTCATAACATGGATGTGGAAGGCCCAAGAAAGGGCCTGAGGTCCTTTGGCCGTGAAGGTGATGCCTTTTACTAGTAGGATCCATTCCTTTTGTCAGACATTTCTCTCATCAGATGAATTGTACATTTTTGTGTAAGCCATTTTTAGTATAATTCTTCTTCAGTCTAAATACTGTTGTAAGAGCTTGCTGCTTCATGGGGAAGAGCATTGCAACCAGAGCAAAGGTGTTGCTAAAAGTCTCCAGAACTGACAGTAGTAAGAACCAGAGGGATGTATGCACAGAACAAATCTCAGTCAAAAATTTGACTGAGGATTCCCCCTGAGGAAGTCATGTTGCACACCCCACCACACCCCGAAATGTGTCCTCCACATGGCTGAGCTCAGCTGAGTATTCTCAGGCTTAACAACCAACTTCAAGTGCTTGACTGGCTGATGGTAGGCTGAATCTAGTGTTCTGCACTAAGATAGGTGCCTCAGCCCTGGGATCAGCCAGCTGGGATTGGGCATTGTGTGCTGCCTTTGTGTAGAGCTCTGACAAAGTCAGGTACTGGAGCTTTTCTATGTGGCACAGCTGCCTTACACATGCTTGGCTGATTTTACTGGTTTCTTCCATTGCCTGTTTCCCTTTCTTATTTTGCTCTGCTTTCATTTCTTTTCCTACTTTCCTCCATATTTTCTGGGATGATGACTTGTGATTGTCCTTACAGAGACTTCAAGGCAACAGTCAGATCATGGATTATGGGACTATAGCTTGTAACTCTAACCCCATCAATTGCCACTCCTGGTCACTAGCTTAAACCCACCATGGTAGGATAATTGCACCAATCTACTTTGAACACTCAGAGGGTGGCAGAGGCACCAAGCCAATGGCATTTCTGGGGTGACTACAGTGGCTGTAGATTATCAAGAATGTTTCTGGGCTTCTCAGATGCTCAGCTGAGAGGAAAGACAAAACAGCCTCCAAGAACAGAGTGGTGATCCCCCAGACTCATGTCAGACAGAGATGTAGGGATTTAGCTAAGTGCAGCAAAGCAAAGCCTGGTGCTGGAGCAGATGGAGAACTGAACTGTCAGTCATTTTTTAACGGGAGGAGGTACAGACATTTGGAGCCATGTTCTCTGACATTATTTTTACAGTCCAGATTCTTGGCTGGAGGTGATACCAGGAACCCTTTAAAGAATTGGCTTTGATCACAGCCAGGGTGCATGGCCAACTTCAAGAAGGAAATTTAAAAACATGTAGCAAGAACAGTCATTGGGCTGGTGCCTTGTGGTATAAGAATGCCTGAAAATTGTAAAGCTCTGTTTTTGTTGATCTGTGAATCTCAGTGGTGCTTTGCATTTTCTCAGCTGTTGCTTGGGGTGGTATGGTATGCTTTACTACTCAGTGTCCTCTGCTTCACACTGACAGGCTGGTCTGCTAAGCTATTTGTGCTACCCTTGGCTTTTCAAGGTGTGATAGACTGTGTGTATCATTCAGTGCCACAGCCAACAGGACTAACAGGTAAAAGCAGAGTGAGTTGATTGGGAAAACCAGCCTTAAACTGCTAAGATTAGGGCATGTTCTACAGGGACCATGAAGTTGCTATGCTTTGATGAAAGTATGAGAAAGAGTCCCATGGGCAGGGAAGGAGTGATGGTAAATGGAGTTATATCCAGCTGGCATCAGGTCACCAGTGGTGTGCCCCAAGGCTCAGTACTGGGGACAGTCCTGTTTAATGTCTCTGTCGATGACCTGCATGAGGGGATTGAGTCCACCCTTAGACAGTTTGCAAACCAAACACCAAGTTGGAGGAGTATTGTTGGAGGGTTGGAAGGCTCTGCAGAGGGACCTGTCCATGGACTGAGGTCATTTTATGAGGCTTAACAAGGTCGACTGCTTGGTCCTGCAGCTGGGTCACAACAACCCCAAGCAGTGCTACAGGCTTGGAGAAGAGCAGCTGGAAAGTTGCCCATTGGAAAAAGACCTGGGTCAGCAGCCACTGAACATGAGCCAGCGTGTGCCCAGGTAGCCAAGGGGGCCAGTGGCACCCTGACTTATGTCAGAAATAGTGTGGCCAGCAGGACTAGGGAAGGGATTGTCCACTTGTTGAGGCTGTACCTCGAGTTTTGTGTCCAGTTTTTGGGCCACTCACTACAAGAAGGATTTTGAGATGCTGGGGCATATCCAGAGAAGGGCAGTGGAGCTGGTGAAGGGTCTGGAGCACAAGTCCTACGAGAAGCACCTGAAGGAGCTGGGGTTGTTTAGCCTGGAGAAAAGGAGGTTCAAGGGGAGACCTTTTTGCTCTCTACAACGACCTGAAAGCAGGTCATAAGGTCATAGTGAGCTGGGGGGGTCAGCCTCCTCTCCCAGGTAACAGGTGATAGGACGAGAGGAAAAAGCCTGAAGTTACACCATGGGAGATTTTGATTTGGTATTGGGAAAATTTCTTCACCAAAAAGGTTGTCAAGCATTGGAACAGGCTGCTTAGGGAAATGTTAGTCACCATCCCTGGAGGTATTTATCAGACATGTAGATTCAGTTTTTAGGGACATGGTTTAATGGTGTACTTGGCACTGCTGGGTAAATGGTTGGACATGATGATCTTAAGGGTCTTTTCCAGCCTAAACAATTCTGTGGTCGTTGCAAGGAGAAGACTCAGAGTCAGTTGTGAGCTTCCAGAGCATGGAGAGCTGTGGAGTTGTGCAGATCTCACTTTCAATTGAAGCACTGTACCACTGGCTGCGTAGTAGTTTGTCTTCTATTGGTTCCCTCATCTGCTGTGGTTATAATTAAAGAAATGTTGCAGTTAGTAGATTAAATTAGCATAATGGCATTATGTGTACATTGTCCTCTATTAATAAAGCTGTAGTGTGGTCCCAAGAATCCTCCCCACTTTTGTCTGTCTCAGTTTCCATAACTCCAGCTGGGTTAGCTTTCTTTATCTCAGGACACTTAGATCAAATGCCTGTTTTATGTGATAATGAGGCTCTTTGTGTGCTGCCTTTGTTGTAAATGCATCTGAAGCCATTCCAGTGATGTGCCTTAAGATTTCATAGTAGTGTCAGTTGATTCAGCACATACATTATACTCATGAATATACTGTGTACTGCTTGTGCTCATATGCTTGTGATTTTCAGCAGCCATGCAAACCTTTTTGTATTGTTTCTTTGCATTAAGAAAAAGCATCTTTGTTGATCTTCCATAGTTTGTTTAGGACAACCATCCACCCTCAGTTTCTTACTGGATTCTGTTGGAAGCTGCAACATGCTTAGCCTCTAGTGAAATACTGCCAATAAAAAAAATGCTGGAATTTTGTGTAGTAGACATGATGTGTACCCATTCTCTGCTTCCCAAACTTCCTTACTCCATTTCTGTGTTTACTGTGTTGTAAGCAGCCTTCTCCTGTCCCAAAGCCATAGGCAGGCTATATTTATGCCCTTTTCCAGTACTGTGACTCACAGCCGTGAGAGCAGCCTTCCTTTCCCAAGGTGGTGGAGCCCTGCACATTGTATGATCTAAATCTGCTCCTGTAGCTCCACAGCAGATGATTGGTGCTGAGACCCCAGAGGTGCTTGGAGAGCCTGTTCTGAGTTGCTTGAGTGCTTCCATGGTGCATTCTGGTGGAGTTTCAGAAGTCTAAATGCAGATTTCCTCTTATTTCTACCTCTGGCATTACTTCATGCACTCCCCTACCCTTCCTGCTTCTTGTTGATGATCCCTCTTTGCACTTCCCGGCTTTTGCTTCCAGACATCTCTTTGAAGCTTTCCTTATCTCACTCCTCTGCTTTGGGATACTGCTGCTGACTTCTGTAAAACCTTTTCACCTACAGATTGTGTAAGAACCTACTCAAAATGAGACTGTTTCATATCTCTTGCTTCCACGCTTCCTGGATTTCTCTTGAACTGCACTGGGGATGTGAATCTCTTTCCTGTGCACCTCTGATTTATGCATCAGATGTCAGTCGTGCCCTACAGTGAGTAAACTCAGAGCCCAGGCTGCAGGGAACTCCACATTCACCATTACAAGTCTGTGTGCTGTGTTCTGAATTGGTGACAGCTGGGCTGTCTCACTGTAATCAGAATCAGAACTTGAGAGGTATCAGAAATCCACTAGGGGAAGAAGTCTCAAGTTTAATCCTAACACACCCCAGAAAAGTTCAGAAACTGAGTTTGTCAAACTCCACTCAGGAAAGCTGAACTGGAATTGCAACAGTTTGACTGTTTCATGAAGCTGAGGGTAAGGGTGGTAATTGGGCAGTAGTCTCCATTTTCCTTGCTTTTCCTCGGGGAAAAGGTCCCTCCATCTTAAAGTTTCAAGAAATTAGGCTAGTTCCTCTACAGGATTTATGGAGAAAAAACTTTTGTATGTTTGCCTCTTATTTCTTATGTCTCCTTAAGATATGAGTAGTGAACTTTGAAGAAGGCACTGGGCTGTGGTATTATCTCAGCCATAAATCCAAGGTGGGCTAGGGGAAGAAGCAGAACAGAGGGTGTCAGCACTTCAGTGGGCAATGGGGGAGGGGATGGAAAGACTTGAAGATGAGGAAGGTAAGCAATGTGTCTGGGAGTTGAAGAGGCTTCAGACATGCTGGAGTAAGAACACAGGGGTTGTGCTGAGCCTCCTGGGGATGTGAAGAAAGCAAGTTCTCTCTGGCATTTGTACAGACACTGTGCTGCCTCATGGCATGAAGGAGTTCCCAGCACCTTCCTTTGCCCAGGGAACTGGCCCTGCAACTTTATACTTTGAGGCTGAGCTTGTGTCACCGTGAAATGTTGTTGGTGAGCTGGCTGTGGGTCTGATACCTTTGGTATCCCACAGGGAGCTAGTAATGGTCTGAGGACTACAGCAAGTAGCCTAAACAGTCAGACATTGCACTGCCCTACTGTCTCAGTGCCCCTTGCTCGGGCAAAGTGGCTACAGAAGGAAGAGGGAACCAGCAGCACTCTCTGAGGATGGTGATTCTTATAGGGGATTTCTGCACTAGCAGGGAGCTGTGAACTACCCAGGCTCTGGCCAGCTGATGTCTCTGAAACCTGGGTCTGGCCAGCCAGGATTCTAACCATACTGTTTTTCTCTGACTTGCAGAAAGTGTTGCCAGAAGCCTACACTAATCCCATAGTCCTTGAGGAATCACAGCTGTGAAATGAAGGGGTGGCAAAGCTGAGAGATACAGCCCCCCTCATTCCTGTCTTTTCTACCTGCATCATCCTGTGACATGTACCCCATGGCAGTGGGGCAACCTCAGGACAGGAGCCCTATGAGCTGCTTGTGGAGAATGTGAATGAGCAAAACAAGAGGGGGGTTGTTTTTCATGAGTTTTCATTGCATCTTGCTGTTTCGGTGTTTGGGAGGAAAAACTGGGGAAATCTGCTGTGTCCCCCCAGTCCCACCATGTATGCTTGGAAAAAGGACGTGCTGAGAAAAGCCAAGGTACCAGCTTAACCCTGAGCATCACAGTGGCACCTTGCATGTAGCTGTGACATGAAAGGCAGCCACACCTACTCTGTGAGCAGCCCTGGAAGAGCTGGCTCTAGGGAATCAGAGCAATCTAGGGATTGCTCTGCCCTGGTTCCCATGATGCTCTATGTTGCACAGGCAGTAGTAGAGGCCTCAGTACATTACCAGCAAGTGCAAAGCAGGGCACCAGCTGCTGCCAGCTCTTCTTTTACTATTTGGCTTTTCTAGATGAAGTACTCTTAATCTGGATAAACTTCTGCTCAGAATTCACTGGGGTTGCCTTCATGTTCATACATAGTAGGAGTAATTAAGAGATTGCCAATATGTCTCCTCCTACCTCGAGGCAAGGACTAGTTCTGCAATCTAAATCTAGCTTATCACTACATTAGCACAAAAGTGAGTCAAACCAGCTTCCCTGGGCTGAGGACTTTGTCTTCCTCCTTAACAAGAAAGTGCCTTTTACATGTTTCAGTATTACATACAAACTTTTTGTGAAGTGTTATACTGAGAAAACCAGCCAAGGCTGTGTTGCTCTTCACAGCCAAAGAGAGGGGTATGATGGAAATCCAGCTTTGCTCGTGTGGAAGCTTCCCACTTCGTAATAGAGAACAGGAAAAGGTACTCACTTGCCAGCATTTGTCTTATAGACACTGCCTATCTATATGCTGTTTATTTTCTAAATGCAACTGTAGATCCTTTTATCACTTCTCCATCCTTTCTAACATCCCTCCCCTGATGGAGACATCAAGTGTCCGTATACACCTTAAATCATACAGTTACTTATGTTTTATTTGAGGCAGGGTACAAAAGGTGTACTGAGGTCAAATGGTTAAAAATACTCCTCTCTGACAAACTATTTTTTGACAAAACATTTTTTCGGTGAAATTTTAATTTTTTTTTTTATACATTATATTTTGATACAGACTGTCTTGAGTTCATGAAGTTCTTAGACAACATTCTCAGGCACATGGTGTGATTCTTAAGGGTTCTTTGCAGGGCCAGTAGTTGGACTGTGATCCTGATAAATTCCTTCTAATTCAGCATATTCTGACTGAAGTCCTATCTTTGATAGTCTGGGATTGAGGATGAGGGTTTAAAATGATTTTCAAGAGAAATGTCAATGTAAAATATTAACATATTTAATATTTTAACTATTTAATAAATCAATTTTAAAAAATTATTGTGGTTAATTAGATATGAATTTATAAATATGAAATTTAATAATTAAATTACTTAATTTTGAATAATTTAATGATTTAATTATTTTATTAACATTAATATACAACTGTACAATGAAACCTGATACATTCATATTAAATGGTTGAAAAGGATCTATATGTGGCTCATTTAATAGCCTGAAATATTCTGCAGAATGGAAAAAGCATCTTTCTGCCTAGTGCTACTGCTGTGTTCCTTTCCTCCCTTTGTTTCCTCTTTCTTCTGCATGTGAATTGTCTTCCCAGCTAGTTCCTGCTGGCTTTTTTCTGCATTCTGTGTGCTGCCCACTTATATTTTGGGCATTATTTTCTCTAGGTCTGAGGCACTTGTTCCTATTTTCTCCATCTTCAGTATTTATAACTCGCTACACAGGAAGCTCCATCCTCGCTCACAGATGTATAGTTTGAGTTTGCTGTCACCAGCATGCTGCAGAAGAGTGTCAACAGCCCTCTTCACGTGTATTATGTGAGCAGCCAGACCTGGAACTTTGTGGCAAGGAGTTAGGGAAAGGTAGGTTTGCTGTAAAGAGAGATGATGTATTCTGCAACACAGTGGAAACTGCTGTTGGCGCTGATCTTCAACCCACTGCTGTGTAGCAGAGAGACAAACATTAGCCCACTGCAGATTTTTGTCATTTATTAGAAACGGTCCCTGGGAAACACACACATGCAAATTACACAGCAGTGCTAGGGGTAGCACCTGTTCTCTCTTTCTGGTCCAAAGTGTTCAACAAATCCTGGACAGTTCTGTCCAGTACACTGTACAAGTACAGTGGGAGAGCAGTCCTTAGTGTTCTGGGCACGCCAGAGACTTTGCCTGCTACCCAGGGAGTCAGTCACCAACTGCCTTGCATAAGCTTTGACACAAACTTCTCTGGGACTTGGTCTTTGACATCAGTCAGTTGAAATGTTGCCTGCACAAGACAAAAACAACTTGATAATGACAGTGATTGACAAAGTCCAACATTGACCCACCAGTAGGATTGCTGTCCTGGAGTTCAGCTGAGCTCTTGTGGAAGTCTGGCAGTGAAGGTAGCAGATGACACCAACCTACAAAGAGCCCTCAACTTCAGTTTTTCTTCTTGTTTTGTGATAGCACTTCTACCTCCAGGTACTGCAGCCCAATCAACATCCCCATAATAGAGAAACCTGTGATAGAGATACAGGATGAGTTGTGTAGAAAATGCTGGGCAAGAGATGAGGCATCCCCTCAGCCCATAGCTGCATGGGGAGTTTTTCTGGCGTGTCATAGCTCCAAGGAGACTATGCAGAGGGAGGAAGCAGAGCTCTACTTACTTGCTACCATAAGGGGTGCCATAACTCCAATTGTCAAGGCTGCAGTGTGGTATATGAAGACCTCAGAGAGGAAGTGAGCAAGGGCCAAAAAGAAGGTAAAGAGTGTGATGTGATAGAGGCTGTTGAAGAGCAGAAAAAAAGCAGGTTATTGTATCATACTATGGGCATGAATATGGCTGAGTGGAAAAAAAGGCACACCTGCATGCTGCCCTATCTGCTCTCACTGGCAGCACAGAGGGGACTTTGCCCCTTTCCTAGTGAGGTGCAAAGTCCCCATGGGCAACGGCTGAGAGGAGAATGGGGCAGCATGTTCAATGGTACACTGAAAGTCACAGGCATTATCTGGCCTGAAGGAAGGTGAAGAGGGGAGAGCGTGAGTAGGGCACCAGTGAAATATGTGCACATGCAAAAAGAAGGTGAGAACTGGATTAGCAGAGAACTAGGGTGACAGGAGTTGGCTGACTTCAGGCTGCATCACCCAATGTCTTCCCACCTATGCTCTGCTACCCTCTATGGGTACAGCTGTTGAAAAGGGAGCAGGTTCAAAAGATGCAAGATTTTTGCAAAAAATAGAGGCAAAATTCCTCAAAGAAACAACTGATTCTTGGTAACTGGCATTGCCACCACCCCCTGAAAACGTATTGTTTAGTCCCTGCACCTCCCTACCTCAGATAAGCCTAGGCAATCCACGCCAGGATACTGCACATACTGCCAGGTAAACAGTGACTTCTGCTACGGTGAAGCAGTAACAAAAGCGTATTAGCAACCTCCAGTAAAGGCTTTGTCTAGCACAGACCTAAAGTCAGCTTGCTTGGAACCCGCTCAGAAACACGTCTGTTAGCACAGGGAGAAATGGTGTGTCTCCCGCTCAGCACCAAGCTGCCCCTCAGACCTTGTTGTCAGCAGCAGGTAAGAGTGTAGGAAAGAAAGCAACCACTTAAGACCACTGGGCACCTAAAACTGTCCCAGTCTTTAGCTGAGCTGTCATAGTAAAAGAAGTATTGAGCATCAGTCATAGTCATACCACAGCATTAGCAATTGCTTAATTAACAGAGAAGCAACACTGTTCAGAAAACACTTTCCAAGCTGGAGCTCAGAAACTGGTGACAGTAAGAGGTTCTCAGATCTGCCGGTTTCTGACTGAGCTAAGAACAGAAATCAAACACGCAGGCTCTCCTCTCCCCACAGAGGAGGAACAGGGCAGCAGCTATCAAACAAATCCCACATTGCTATTTGAGCTTCTTCAGGGGAATGCTGTCAACACTATAGAAAGTTCATGAACAGCTTTTGATTCCCCACCTCCTCTGTGCCGCCCCCTAAGCTCAGGCTGTGTCTAGCAAACAAACCAATGGATTTCTCGGGTGCTGCTTTACATACGTCCTGTTACGGATGTCGATTGCGCAGAGGCAGCGGATCACTGATGACAACAGGGTCCAGACGCCGAAGGTCCGAGCCTGGAGCCCATTCACTGCGTAAAGAAGGAGCGAGCACATGGAGGTCAGGCACGGCCCTGCCTACCACCTCAAGTCCCGCCGCGGAGGCGCACGCCGGGACAGTAGGCAGCTCCCGGGCCCCAGAGGAGGGAGCCCGAGGAGAGCCCAAGGCTCACGGCTGGAAGGGAACCTCCAGGCGCCAGGGCGACCGGCGCGGCCCTTACCGAGGCCGGGGCTGGCGGTGTACAGCTTCTCTGAGAGGAAGCCGTGATCGCGGAAGCTCTGCAGGGTATTCCCGGCGGCGATGACCGACACCATCACCAGCCAGCTGCGCAGCACGTTCAGGAACC